GAATAAACTCTTCATCGCTGGCACAACTGCTTCTAGGTCGAGGAACGGCATGAATAATGTAGTTAATTCCTTGACTTCAAAAGACTTTGCTATGCTGTTGGTAATAAAAAAGTTGATTTTTTGACTGCTTTAAAAAAACAGAAAAATGTGCCATTTCATGAGCTAAAGTGTAAAAAATATCTAACCAATGGCGGTCATTACGAATATAAAGACAAAAACCAGAATAATCTATTACTTTTTCACCATTCACTATCTTCTCCCTCCAACTCGATAAGCCAACGGCATTTAGATATTTCCCTGTAAATAAGCCTTCGTTATACCTACTAAAATATAAATCAATAGGTCTTTTTTCGAGTTTCTCATCAGCAAATTTATCAACAATATTTTTTAATTTTCTTCTTAATTCGTTTCTTCATGCTTGGTAATCATAATTATAAAGAGCAAGTTGTTCTCTAATCTTAGTTACCTGAGGATTGGGGTAAACTGTGCTATCACAATAAACTTTCTCAACACTCTCGGGTAAGTATTCTAGACCAGAATCAATATCAGTATTACTAATATTAATTCTTTGCAATTTGTTTATGCCTTGCAAAGGTTCTAAACTTCCATGCAAGGGACAATTTTGCATACCTAAAATAGTTAACCCTGTAAAAGGCTTTAAAAAATCTAAGTTTTGCTTCTTGATGTATGTGCAGTGCCTTATTCATAATTCTTTTAATTTCTCTGGATAAGGCAAGTTATTTAAAAAATCAAAACTAGTAAAATTATTGTTAGCAACGTTAAGTCTGGTTAAATTAGGACAATTACTTAAATCTAAATTAGTCAATCCAGAGTCAGGTGCATGTAGTTCTTCCAAGTTAGTAAAGTCTTCTAACTTTAATGATCCTCCAAAAACACGTCCCCAAAGATCCAATTTTTTTACTTCTTCTCTTCTTTTGCCTTTATTATATCAATTTTCCGAGTTTTCGTATCAACCTTCGCCATTATTAATTTTTTCATCTTTGCTTACTCCATTTTTAGGATAATTCTCTTCTAGTCATTCTTGTGCGTTTACCATATTTTTATTTACTTTATCTTTATTTATTGTTAATGTTAATCACTACAAAGGCAACTAAGCCAAATTTATATCTAACTAGGAGTGATTGATTTATAAAATTATACTAGTTGGATATTTGGTATCGTTTTGGTCATAGGCATATATATTTTAATTTTATTTAATATTTAAAAAATTTAAAAATGGCAGCGAATTTTTTAAGCATTTTTTTATAAGTTAATCTTACAAATTTACTCTAATAGTAGAGAAAATTTTTGACTTAAATAATGGACTTTGTTTTTCACATTTTTTATTATTTTTTTTATCTTTATAATTTCGCAAAATTAAGTCAATCATTTTCGCTATCTCAAAAAACTCCTCTTTTTTCAATCCGCGGGTTGTTAAAGCCGGTGAACCCAACCTAATGCCACTACTAACCAAAGGCTTTTCAGTGTCATATGGTATCATTTGCTTGTTACAAACAATCCCCACTTTTTCTAATACTTCGGCGGATTCTTTTCCAGTTAAATTATAACTACTTTTAGTGTCAAGAATTAATAAATGGGTTTCAGTTCCATTGCTAATTAATTTTATTCCTTTTGTTAAAAAATAGTCTGCCATGACTTTTGCGTTCTCTAAGACCGCTTTTTGATATTTTTTAAATCTGGGTTGCAGTGCTTCTCGAAAGCATTGAGTTTTGGCAGCAATAATGGCTTGGTTCGAACCACCTTGGTTACCAGGAAAAACGGCTCGGTCAATTAATTTTCCTAAATCTTTTTTGGCTAAAACTGCTCCTCCTCGCGGCCCCCGCAAAGTTTTATGAGTAGTGAAAGTAATTACGTCCGCATAAGGAACTGGATTAGGAAATAAGCCAGTCGCTACCAACCCTGCTACATGAGCGATATCAGCCAGCAAATAAGCACCTACTTGGTCGGCAATTTCTCGAAATTTGGCGAAATTTATCTTTAAACTATAACTGCTGTAACCGGCAATAATTAATTTTGGCTGAACCGCTTGGGCGATTTCTTTAATTTTTTGGTAGTCTAATTTTTGTGTATGCTGGTTTAAGTTATAATAATGAACTTGGTAAAAAATTCCTGAAAAATTAATTTTTGCTCCATGGGTCAAATGTCCACCAGATAAAAGATTTAAACTTAATATTTTGTCTCCTGGCTTTAAAAGGGCTAAATAAACCGCCTGGTTAGCTTGGGCTCCTGAGTGAGGTTGAACGTTAGCATACTCAGCACCAAATAATTTTTGGGCTAGTTCTATTGCTAAATTTTCGATTTTATCAATATACTTGCAGCCTTGATAATAGCGACTATTAGGATAACCCTCGGAGTACTTACTCATTAATAACGAACCACTATAAAATAAAACTTTCTGAGAAGGATAATTTTCACTGGCAATTAAATTAAGAGTGCTTTTTTGACGTTTTAGTTCCTGCTGGTAATAATAGTTAAGGAGAAATTTATTTTTTGCCATTTAAAATAATTTTATCTCGGTGGTGAGCAAAATGCTATTCTTATGGAAAATTCCCTCCAATTAATTACTTATTTCCTTTCAGTTCTTGAAAAAAAGAAAGAGAAGAAAATGCTCTTCTTCCTATTATAGTTAAAATATAAATTAATGGAACATTATGACAAATTATCCCGCTCTGGTAAAAACTGGGCAAGAACCAGAATATAAAGTTAAACCGCCTTTGAAAATTTCCTCAGTGGGGATCGAAGTTAAAAAAAATAGTAGTCAAATGCCGGATGGTTCGGCGCTTTTAACCAATACTGGAAACCATTCAAATCTTAAAAGTCAAGGAATTAACTACATTATTCATGCCGTTCCTCGACCTAGAAGCAGTTGTGCCAGCGATGAAGAGTTTATTC